TAAGTTAGGGTTTTTCAAAATGCTGACACGCTGAGCTCAAAAGGTTCGCCATCACTGGTGATATCATTCTTCATGTTGCGAATGTTAAGCTGCTTTTTTCTCACATTTCTGCATTGAAGTCATGTTAGCATTATTGGTTTTGGAATAACAATAAGTGGATCTACCAATATTTTTACAGCCTGTGTTGCATTTTGAAGTGTTGAACAGCATTAAATGTCACCCCAGCTACACACCCAGACGGGGTTTAACAAAGGTGATTGGTTGTACTTTGGTTTAGTATATTTTAGATTTTAATGCTCTGCTTTACAAAACTAGAAAGTTAATATTTATCAACATGCTAAGATGATTTGTCTCTAGAGGAAAGACATTATTCAGTATACAGGAGATTATCTATAAATCAGAATGCCAATTAATCCCAAAGAAGGTCAGAATAGGAAGTTTGTTGATGAGCCCATTTTTCATTGAGTGAAAACTGCATAGAAAACTCAGGTTGTAATCCATAAATGCTTGGTGAGTAAAGGCAGTTAATTAGAAAATATTACATCTAGTGTCGTCATACAGAAATGACAAGTTTCATTCATCCAGCACACAGGATCTTTTGATTACCTTTTGGGTCATCTTATTTTAACCAGTCTATCTTAACTTCTATTTTGGGGATACCAAGCTGTTTAATCTAAGCAGAGCTATAGTTTTTTCTTTTGTATAAAAGGTAGGTATAGGTTGATTGCTCTGTAATTACCAAAACACTTTTTGCAGAACATGAAACCATTTGCTTTTAATTTTCTCTTAGAAAAAGAGGGGGTAATTGGTTTAGGGAATTAAATTAGATAGAACAGATATTTTCATTTGTGTTTTGTAAAGCTTTAAAAATAAAAGGTTGCTATCAAGGAGGGTAGAGTAAATGGACTTGCAATTCATGTGGTTGTTTGTTCTTTACAGTTAGGATTGTAAGTTTCTCAGAGCATGGAATAATATATTTTGAGAGTGACTTGCACATTATGTGTAAGCACACTTTAAAGCAATACTTAACTGAAATACATCCCTTCTCTCTGACATGGATGTTTTCAAAACAGTAACATTGTCTTCAGAGACTCACAAGTATTTTAGACACTATCTGAATAGTATCTGTGTTTTTCTATGTATACATGAATGTAATAAAAGGGATATGAATTAGCTGTATATGTTTGCTTGGTAAATAAGAATGGATCAGAGATATTGCCTGTGTTAGTTCAATATTTTTAATATCTAGAGTGTGTCTCTAAACATAAAGAAGTCAATTCTACTCTTTGGCCTACTCTTATAGACAATCCGAGAATATGAAACACCCTCTTACTCAAAGAATTTGTCATTCATAAAGGGGAGTCAAACCTCATATAGAACATTTGAAATAATAATAATACCTAACATTTGGCAAGCATTTTATAGTTTTTTATTTAATGCTTATTAAATACTAGTGCCCAAGTGCATGATTTCATGCACATTGAAAGGAAATTAATTAGAAGAAATATTTTAATATCGCTTTTTGCCCTTTATAATAGAAGGGTCAACGAAATTCACAATCAACAATGAAAGATCGAAACACACACGTGAGGTTGGTGCCAGCTAGAGCTTTTTTATATGTATTACGCATGTGCGAGTCAACCTAGCCTTTTATAGATATAAAATAAACTTGTTTAATTAGACCTGCTTTCTGATTTAGATAAACTTTTTCCAGTCCAGTGAAGCGCCCCAACTTCTCTTTCAGGTAATTGTCAGCAACACAGCAGTAAATATCAACATGAAACAGATTATTATTGTAGATCACGCAGGGAGAACAAAGGGTAAAATATTTAACTGCATCAGTGTTTGACTGTATTCTGCGCAGTGAGAAAACCTGAAGTCATTTTTTAAGGTCCACCATTTCTTACCTCTTTTTAGTCAGGTCAAGTTTCTAAACTTTATAAATCTCGGTTTTCCAGCTAATGAAAAGAAAATAGGATTCCACCCAGTTTCCTGTCTACCTACTCCAGGACTTCTGTGAGGATCAAATGAGATGCGGCAGGGAAAACACTTCATGGACATTTGGTTAAAGTGTGAAATGTTTCCACCTGGCTATAAAGCAAGTCATGTTCCTGAGCTGAAGAAACTGCAAGGAGGCTAGTCGCTAGGGAGAGGAAGCTGGGTGTTGCTACATGACGTCATTACCTGGATGGACACTTAGCATATTAGCCTTTTATATATACAGATCTTATGAAATAGTTAGGGGACCAGTGTCATCCTCTTTTCACAAATAAGAAAATGAAGGCTTAGAGAGATTAACTGACTTACCCAGGATCCCAGACTGTATATAATTAAATACCAAAACATAGAATAAAGATATCTGAAGAAAAGTAAGGAAGATAAAATAGCATTATAAGCAGAGTAATAAGGGAAGCCCTCATATAATAAGTGAGAATTAAGAGTTTTCTCTACATAAATATGGTTTATATGGTTAGAGAAGAGAGATGATGGTAGAAACTTGGGTATGAGAATGACACAAGTGATTTAAAAATCAGTGAAAATTTTCATTTTCAACAAAACGGAGATGTACTTTTCCCTATTCCTCACACTAAAGTACAATTGAATATTATAAAAAACAAACATAAAAGCCCTAGCTGGTTTGGCTCAGTGGATAGAGCATCAGCCTGCAGACTGAAGGGTTCTGGGTTCTATTTTGGTCAAGGGCACATGCCCAGGTTGTAGGCTTGATCCCCAGTAGGCGTGCAGGAGGCAGCCGATCAATGATTCTCTCTCATCATTGATGTTTCTCTCTCTCCCTTTCTCTTCTGTGAAATCAATAAAAATATATTTTTAAAAAACACATAAGAAAACTCTGAAAGGTGGAGGAAGGTAGACTGGCTAGAGACCTTGGGATCCAAAGAACAACATGGCAGTAAGTTAGCTGGGTTTTGATTTTGTCTTTTCTATAAGACTGGATTCTAGAGAAGCAAACAATCCAGAAACACCTATGAGCACAACAGTCCCCAAGAAAAGCTTGATGTCTCTTAGCCAAGTGAATAGAAAAGGGTAAACTGGCAAGACAGAAGTCTTTTAAGCAATAGCCATTCTCCTGCAGCCGAATACCACAGACAAAAAAAAAAAAACTGTGGCCACACCCACACCCACACTGACAAAGGCTAGGTAGAGAACCTAGACTGCCACCTTCTTCATGTATAATGAGATTCTCTAACCCACCCACCCCTCCTGGAGTGGTGGGAAAAAAGATTGCATAGGAGCTGAAATTTCCAGGTCTACCTGGCAATAACAAGGTGCCCCTTACCCTCCCCATTTGGGTAATGTCATAAGTGGCCTAGTAGAGAGGACTTTCACCACCATTCAGAGGCAAACAAAGTCACATCCTCATGGTAAAGCCACCTGGAGAGTAGTAATGAGGCACCCCTATTCTTTCTAGTCAAATATATATCAATGGAGGCTTGATGGAAAACTAAAAATCCTATCGCTGCCCAACGGTAATAAGGAGCCTCTCCTTTCAGATGTCAAATAATAAGGTGGTATCCCCTTGTCCCATACCAGAATAGTGTCAGGGGGAGACAGGTAAAACAAGTTTCAGATAAGGTCCAAAGTCTCATGTTATCACATGTCAATCGAAAATCACCTGTCAAAATAAGAAGCATGAAAACCTCAAAGTGACTTTAAAGCCAATTGTAGATAATACATTTGGAGATGACAGA